TAGTGTTGAATTTTGACGCGCCATTTGACGCGTCGAAATTTAACACGTACTTGAMGCGTCATTACGCATTGTTGATGCCTTGTTTACGCGTCATTTACGTGTCAAATTAACACGTAATGTCTACATAGATTTGTCACCGCTGGCTTTCCATATTTGTATGTTGGAGAGAGTGTGTGTGTGTGTGTGGCTCTGATAGAACATGTCGCTTAATGAAATAAGAACAAAATAGTTAAAAAATAAACAGCGCGCAAACAATGCATAGTTTACATGTTGACAACACGCTGTTGACGTGTTAAATACGTGTTAAATTTCGACACGTCATTACGCGTTGTTGACGCATTGTTTACGCGTCATTTACTGTACGTGTCAAATTAACACGTAATGTCTACGTAGATTTGTCACCGCTGGCTTTCCATATTTGTATGTTGGAGTGTGTGTGTGTGTGTGTGTGTGTGTGTGTGTGTGTGTGTTTGGCTCTGATAGAGCATGTTGCTTAATGAAATAAGAACAAAATAATTAAAAAATAAGTTTTCTCCTGATGAAGTTTGGGATTCAGCAGTGTTTTTGTGCCCACACGAAGCTGAGTTTAACCTGATTTAATTTCAGAATAATGCCAAATAATGCTCTTATTTTGAAAAGGCATACCCTCTACGCTAGATTTGCTGTTACTCCCAACCTGACTCAGCTGTGTGTGTGAGAGTGTGTATGTGACGGGGGGGTCTGTGCAGTTTGAAGGCTGGTACATCTGTAAGCACTACTCTGGATCCAGTGAATGTGTAGAAAGCCTTGTAGTATTGTGTTGTATGTAATGTATATAATGAATAAAGATTGTATTTTGTTCAAGGTTTTCATGTTTTCTTTCCTCCTGGTKGTCATGGGAGGGTCTCACAGATTGAAACTACAGGAGCGATGGTTACATTTGAATGTTTAATTTGCACATTTGAACATGAACATAATGGCCATCAACAATTTACAACGTCCAGTGTGTCAGACTCCTGTTGTTTGTCTTCAGCAGCAAACAAACCATAAATACAAACAATAATGATTAYATACTTTGGTGAGAAATGTACAGCTATAATGAAAGTGAAACTTTAAACACAAAACATACAATAAGAGAACCAGTGCTCACAGTGACCGTTTTTATATTTAAACCTGACGGCGGAAGTGAAGGAAAATATGATTATCTTATTGGTTTAAATAAAAACTGAACCAAGCAGAAGTGTAAAATAAAAGAGAAATCCTTCAGCCGGTAAAAAAATAATAAAGCAGCTTTTTACTGTTTGCTCCTTAGAACCAGCTTTAAATGTTCTAAACTTGAAACTGAAAAAAAAAAATCGCCCTCATTGGTAAGGACGCTTCATAGGACCAATCAAATCTCAACTKAGGCYRTTGCCCATGTGGCCCCGCCCCAAGAATCCAATAAAATCTTTTTTTTTAAACTTTGCCAATAACTGGAGTCAATTCTCTCCGTTAGCAAAATATCATGGCCACCACAGCCAACCAGTTGGTTTTTTTTTATTTTTTTTACAAATGTTGGTGTCGCCCAGCTGAAAGCGCCATACAATGTTTTTTCTTCAAACTTTGGCATGTGCTGTTAGCATTGTTCGTTAATAAATACAGTTTCTCATCTGGATGGATGCCTGAGTCACGCTGCGGTATGAGAGAAAAAAAATGAAAATATCCAGCTGTGTTTTTTTTTTAAATATATACATTTTTTTTAAAAAAGACAGTAATTCTCCCAGAAACAGACGTAGAAAAACAAGCCAACCTTGYGGGTCGTTACAAAATCTAAAAAACTCGTGTTGTCCTGTTTGTCCAGTTTGAACTAAACTGTATCTTACCGACGTGTCAAACACCAAGTTTGATAAAGTCCAAAACTAAACTTCCTTTTTGTTAGCAAAATAAAACGCACACATATACAGGTGTTTATACGTCACACACCTCAGTRGGTTTATTTACTAGAGTTTGTGACAAACTCCTGTACTGACCTGTCTACAATGCACCAMACCCCAAATACATTTAGAGCTTTTTCAGGTATTCAAGGTCAACTTAAATCTTTTGGTTCTTTCCATCAGCTTTTTAATGACTTCTCTACACATTTATACTTCTAAATTGATCTTTTTATGTCAGGACAGCCAAATGTCCTCAGCAGAGAAACAGGTTCARACTGTTTCAACAATGGAAGCAGGCRTGAAYATATGTGGACCGAACATRCACATCATCTGTAAGAAGCTCAGTGTAAAGTGAATTTGTATTTATTCTTTAGCAGRGGTGTCAAGTAACTAAGTACAAATACTTTACTTAAGTAGTAATTTTGGTTATTTATACTTCAGTGGAGTAATTATTTTTCAGACTACTTTTTACTTCTACTTCTTACATTTTAATTCAATTATGTGTACTTTCTACTCCTTACTTTTTAAAAATGCAAAAAGTATTTCATTTCTATTTAACTTTGACTTGTTTTATTCCATCTTTTCATTGTTCAGAAAAAAAAATAAACAGAAATCTATCCAGATATGAGCCCATGGATGGAGTGATTGTGTTTGGATGAGAAGTGTAAATATAAACCATTCTGACACCCTACAGGACTGAACTCACTCCATCACACCTGTATGACACAAATCACATCACATTCCAGCAGGACAGACTGTAGCAGATGCATCGTATCTCATTAGAGAAGAACCCGTCCAGAAGACCTATACAATTT